ATTGATGCTCTTAACCATTTGGTATATTTTGGGAGTGGCTGGTACTGGTTGTTCCTTTCTATGTTTAGTGCGTCTTTCAGGAGCTCTTGTAAAGCAGGCCTGGTGTTGATGAAATCTCTGAGTACTTGCTTGTTTGAAAATGATTTTATTTTTCCTTCACTTATGAAGCTTAGTTTGGCTGGATATGAGATTCTGGGTTGAAAGTTCTTTTCTTTAAGGATGTTGAATATTGGCCCCCACTCTCTTCTGGCTTGTAGGGTTTCTGCTGAGATATGTGCTGTGAGTATGATGGGCTTCCCTTTGTGGGTAACCTGACCTTTTTGCTGGCTGCCCTTAGCATTTTCTCCTTCATTTCAACCCTGGTGAATCTGATGATTATGTACCTTGAGCTTGCTCTTCTTGAGGAATATCTTTGTGATGTTCTCTGTATTTCCTGTACTTGAATATTGGCCTGCCTTGCTAGGTTGGGAAGTTTTCCTGGATAATATCCTGAAGAGTATTTTCCAGCTTGGATTCATTCTCTCTGTCACATTCAGGTACACCTATCAAACGTAGATTAGGTCTTTTCACATAGTCCCACATTTCTTAGAGACTTTGTTCATTCCCTTTTATCCTTTTTTCTCTAATCTTGCCTTCTTGTTTTATTTCATTGAGTTGATATTCGACCTCTGATATCCTTTCTTCTGCTTGGTCAATTCGGCTGTTGAAACTTGTGTATGCTTTGTGAAGTTCTCGTGTTGTGTTTTTCAGCTCCATCAATTCACTTATATTCCTCTCCAAGTTGTCTGTTCTTGTTAGCATTTTGTCAAATCTTTTTTCAAGGTTCTTACTTTCTTTGCACTGAGTTAGAACATGTTCTTTTAGCTCACAGAAATTTCTCATTACCCACCTTCTGAAGCCTGATTCTGTCAATTCATCATACTCATTCTCCATCCTGCCTTGTTCCCTTGCTGGTGAGGAGTTGTGATCCCTTGTAGGAGGAGAGGCATTCTGGTTTCAGGTGTTTTCATCCTTTTTGCGCTGGTTTCTTCCCATCTTTGTGGATTTATCCACCTGTTGTCTTTGTAGTTGTTGACTTTCAGATTGGGTCTCTGACTGGATGTCCAGTTTGTTGATGATGAAGTTATTTCTTCCTGTTTCTTAGTTTTCCTGCTAACAGTCTGGCCCCTCTGCTGTAGGACTGCTGAGGTCCACTCCAGGCCTTGCTTGCCTGGGGATCACCTGCAGTGGCTGCAGAAAGGGTTGCTGCCAGTTTCTTCTTCTGCTATCTCTGTCCCGGAAGGATACCTGCCAAACGTCAGTCTGAGCTCTCCTTTATGAGGTGACTCTTTGAATATACGGGGGTCAGGGAGCTGCTTGAGGAGACAGTCTGCCCTTTATAGGAGCTCACATGCTGAGCTGTGAGCTCCGTTGTTCATTTAAAGCTGCTAGTCAGGTACGTTTAAGTCTGCTGCAGCAGAACTCTTAAACCCCTTTTTTTCTTCAGGTGCTCTGTCCTGGGGAGTTAGGGCTTTATTTATGAGTTTCCGTTGTGCTGCTGCCTTTTTTCAGGGCTGCCCTGCCCAGCGAGGAGGCAGCCTAGTCACTGTCTGCTTGCAGAGGCTTTGCTGAGCCACCGTGGGCTCCACCCAGCTGCTGTGTGAACTTCCCTGCAGTCCTGTTTATACGGGTGTAGTTAAAGCTGTCTTGGCAATGGTGGCCCACCTTTGTAATGGTGGACTCCCTCTGTAACAGTGGGCTGCCTCAGCAATGGCAGACTACCTCCATAGTAGTGGAGTGCCTGGGTAGTGGCGGATGCCCCTCCCCCACAGAGCTGGACCTTCCCGGATTCAGTTGTACTTGTTGGGAAACTCTCAACCCAGAGCGTTTCCAATTGCTGTTTTTTTTATGGGGGTGGGACCAGCAGAGCCTGATCACCTGGCTCCCTGCCTCAGAGCCTTTTTTTTAGTTGAATGGTCGACTCTCTCCCAGGTGTTCCAGTCTCCTGTTGAAAAGGCACTGGTATCTGTGTGATTTCCCATGCAGCGACCCACTGTGCCAGCTGAAACAGTGACGCTGAGATTCGTGGCACTTTTTTGCCCAGGAATCTCCTGGCCTGGCTCCATGTTTCAGTCCCCTTTTTAGTCAGATGAATGGGTGACTCTGCCTTCCTGGAGCCCCGATCGCCAGCTAAAATGGCACCTGGACCTGTGTATTTTGTATGGAGAACTGCTGCCCTGGGTCACTGACCATACAGCTGCACCGGCCCAACCAGCCACGCTGGCGACCCTCCGCCTGGGAGGGTCCTCCACCTGGGAATCTCCTGGCCTGTGGGCAATAAAAATCTGTCTGGAAATGCGGCATCCACTCACTCTCTGTGCTTTCACTGGGAGCTGCAATCCTGCAATGCTCCTAATCGGCCATCTTGGATCCGATTTTTTTAATCCTTTAACCTCCAGTCTCCTTGGCTATAAATTCTTACTTCCTCATGCTGTTTTAAGAGCTGAGCATTGTTTTATACTGATTTCTGTACTTTTTCCCAGATTGCAATAGTCCTGAATAAAATGTCTTTTTACCATTTTACTTTCTAGCTCTGGTTTTCTTTAACACTCTTTACGCATTCATTCATCATCAGTATCTAACCCTTTAATATACTTGGTATTCAGCTCAGCCCTGGAAAGTGGTTGAGTCCACTTTCTGCCCTCAGAGAGTTTATATTCCAATGCTGGAGACAGGTAAGTCAACACTATCACAATGCCGCATGAAAGGTGTCACTGGCATTACCCACACATGTTCTGTGAGACCAAAGGGAGGCTGTTGGGAGTGGCCAGGAGTGTTCAGGGAAGAGTAGCTTTTCTCTACCTGGCCAATCACATTCTGTAAGGCTCACATTCCATCTGCAAGATGTGAGTAAACAGCTCTCACAGCTTTCAACGATATTGGGCTGCCTCAGTTCAAGCAGGCTGGTGAATCAGAATTTCTCTGTGTGATCTTTAAGGTGTATGTCTTTTGGGGCAGGACTGGGGATGAGGGGAGTTGTTCTAGATGTCCAGAGAATTATCAGTACCATAGTGGAGGTACTCAGAAATTCCTACTGCTCCCAGACTATGGCTGTAAGGCTAGGGAACTTGATCTCTTTTAAAGAATTTTCCCATAAGTTAGGATTTGGGGTTAAGGTGAACCTAATTCTGGCCATGTTAAGGACTTGTAGGGAATTTAGGGAAAATGGGAATAGCTTTTGTCATCAGTTCTACCCTTTGTGAGACACACATTTCTTGTGGCTCAGGCAATCTACACATTCTGGTAGTGTTTATTTTTAATTATTTTGATGGTGTTTCTCTTGTTTATTTAGTCAATGGCTTTTAATTTCTTTGAATATAGTTAGAAAGTCTTATTAATATGTAATTTCCTGCATTGTGCATAGTGAATGCAGAGATTCTAAAGATTCAGAACTCCATCTGTGTGTAAGATATTATCATTTTCAGGACAAAAATTTTAATCGGTCCCAAACATCTTCGTGCTATTCAAGTCATCCCTTTGAATCAAGTTGCCCACCCACCCAGTTATTATTTGTCTATTACTTGTGTTATTTGGCCAAAATAATACTAGTCCATTAAGACCCACAGCTAAATAATAGCAGATTGTTATTTTTAAAGAAATGAAAGAAGTGAAGAGAGAACTCAGAGGGAGCATGTGGTGAAGGGAATATTGGAAGAAAGAAGTCTACCAACGGCTTCTTTTTTTTTTTTTTTTTTTTTTTTTTGAGACGGAGTTTCGCTCTTGTTACCCAGGCTGGAGTGCAATGGCGCGATCTCGGCTTCACCGCAACCTCCGCCTCCTGGGTTCAGGCAATTTTCCTGCCTCAGCCTCCTGAGTAGCTGGGATTACAGGCACGCGCCACTATGCTCAGCTGATTTTTTTTGTATTTTTAGTAGAGACGGGGTTTCACCATGTTGACCAGGATGGTCTCGATCTCTTGACCTCGTGATCCACCTGCCTTGGCCTCCCAAAGTGCTGGGATTACAGGCGTGAGCCACCGCGCCCGGCTACCAACGGCTTCTAAAAGCATTGGCCAACACTTCATAAGGAACATCATGAAAAAATAACCAAGATTAGGGGACAAACTTGGCCCATTTTGTGGGCAAAGTGTGAGCCTTTTAAGACTCCTGTAGCAGATGATTTTATCTGGCTACTTAGGAAAATGCTCAAGTTACAGAAAATAGCTTTTAATTAAATGATGGTATAGTCAGAAAGTCAATTGTTTTTGGTATTATATTCAGTTTTAACACTTTTTTAATATTAAAAAATGAAACATGAAAAAATAATGTACTTAGAATATTTCACTTTTTTAATTGTATAGGTAAACTTAGAGCAAAAATGAAAATATATTAAGTTTCAAGTGCCAAAAATTAGTCACTTTCACTTTCTATCTTTGGTCAAACCAAAAAACTCCACTGCTAACATAATTTAGAGCAACAGTTTCCACACTTGGCTGATGATCAGAACACCATGGAGAATTTAAAGTACACATTCCCAGGCACCTATCCTGTATTTACCGTATCAATTTCCAGGAGTGGGGCCCCAGAATCTGTATTTGAAAAAGAGCTGTTGAGGTGATATAAATATTCTGGCAGATTTGAAAACCACTGCCATAAAACAAACAGGGATTTAAAGCCCTCAATTTTATCTCAGCCTCTTGCTGAATATGCTCTTGTAATGGTTTAAGGTAATAATGACCTTGCTGTAGTCTATTTCCTGTTGACTAATGACCAGCTGCAAGAAGTTGTCTCTAGGGTCTTTCAATTCAGCCTACCAATAATTACTCAACGCAATATGCGCCTGCAGTTCAAATGCGTATAAAGTTTTCCTCTTCGAGGAACATTGCAGTGTTAGGTTGTCTTAATTGCATTCCTTTTCTAATTCATCTCTCAAATGCCACAGTTGCTCCAAAACAGAAAAAAACAGGAGGATCAAAGTGTCTGTCTCTGCCGGAACAAACAGAAGCAGAGGCAGGGGAGAAGATTTAGCTCTTAGGTGGATTTTGCTGAAATGTTCTATTTGTCGAGCAGTGATTTGTACCAGGTAATGTGAACTAGGTTGCCCTCCATCTCTTTACAGATTACACCCCATTTCCTTTACTGTGCTGCTAAGTAATTCTTAGGGAATTATTCCCCCTCCAAATTCTCTCTGCGAACAAAATGATCTGCTACATATGCTTCCACTTTATGTGCTGCGGGACAGCCGTGGGCTTCTTAAGGCTGCCTGCATTTCCAACTGTTCAGGCTGGAACTGTAATCTTTCCACCCACCCCTTTCCCGTCAGGTAAAGAAAATGTTCATACCTCAGGTTTTGTTACCAAGCAACAGAGTTGCATTTGCCAATTGCCACCATTTCCTTCTCATAGTATTACAGGCCTTATTATTAACATTTAGTTCAGAGAAATTGCTATCATTATGTGAAGTAACTTCCTTTAGAGGTTATTCATTAACCTTAGGTATTTTACTGTGTAATTATAATTGCCAAGTGCCGCGGGCTTGGAAAACGTTTGAACTCCTGAAGGTATTAGGGGACGGCAGAAAGGATATTATCTGATTTTTCTTCCTTTTCCAGTTAAGGATTAATCAAGGTGCCCTATTTCCCCTGCAGAGATATCTACTTTTCCAAAAGAATAAACTCTTCCCCTGCCTCTGTCCAGACTGTCCACCGTAAACTTAGAAGCAAACCTTGGAGGAACTTGCCTGTTAGCATGTGATTTTCACAACTTCTGCAGGGCAGAGCGCAAATTGCTCCCCCGCTGTCTTAGGAAAAAATTGAGGGGATACTGAGAAGACCCAGTGGTTGATAAATGGTTGGCAGGCACACTCGTCATACGTGGGGCTCTGTGAAGACCTTGCACAATGCCTGGAATTGTATATGTGCACGGCCTCGTTCCGACCAACAGAAGACCTTCATCCTATTGCTCACTCGATGGCTCCCTGAAAGTAGTTTTTCACTCCCTAGCTTTGCAGGAGCCAGGTGTGCATTCCACAATACGCCTATTATACAGCCATTCTCAGTAGACATTGCTTATACAATGACCCTTCTAATTTGTCCCACTGCAGTGTGGGTGCCAAGGACTGAGGTCCCCACCCAGTACAACTTCAGGTATGTATTTCACATATATTCGCAGGCAAAAAATGCACCTCCCTCTTCTTCTCTCTTTGTTTCAAGACAAAAGTAACTGGCATTCCACCCCGCCCTCTCCCCACCAGCCCCCAACTACATGTGCCTGCAGCACGGGCGCCCTAGAAAGGGAAACCTGTTTTCCTTCTCCCAGGTTTCTGGTTTCTCCACCCAGTCCCCCACAGTCCTCCACTTCCCGCACCCAGTCACTCCGGCCTCTACCCAGACTCTGAGAAGTGGCCGACATTCCAGGTAACCTGATTCCCCAGACGGGATAGGCGGCGGCCTGCTGCTGCTGCTGCTCCTGCTGAAGGCGCGACCACGTGACCTTTCCTGCCTGCACCGGGGAAATGCATACCTTGTTCAGAAAACTAGGGGACAGGTGAGCCCAGGGTACTGTTTTGAATCCGAGTTAAAAACATGTATGTATTTAAAAGGTGCTTGCTTCTGCATCAGACAGCTACCGCTTTGATCATTCCAAATGAAAAGGCACAATTGGCTGTGGGGTTTTATGGTGTGAACTGAGCTGGAAGACAAAGGCAGGACGATCTCCTGGAGGAAAAAGGCGCAGTGGGTTTTATGGGAGCTGCGGCACAAGTCTGAACGCGGTGGCTGCACGCGGGAAGGCAAAGCCGCCCTGGCAGAAGCCCGAGCTGCAGGCCTTAGAGGGGAAGCCTGTCCCTCTGTCCATTTACCTGGCTCTCGTGATCCCTCGTTTATTCCTGACAGATTTCTTCTTTGACTTGTGAAATGGAGGAAAGTAGGGGACACTGTGATACACTTTAAAAGGTGCAAGAATTTGCTACTTTCTCCTCAAAAACAGGGCTCGTATGGAGTTTCTTTGAAAACTGGAACATGCTGTCACATGTAATCTAAGGAGCTCAGTCTCCTCTTCCATGCCCATTAATCAATCAACCAACACTTTTAAAGTATCTAGTATGGATCCTGTGTACTGTGGGGAAGTAAGGGCATGGTGTCTGCTTTTAAGGTATTTACGGGTTATCTGGGTGGTGAATATATGAGTGTAAATCATGATAATAGTTAGCATGTACTGGGGATGTATTGAATACTTCCCGCGTGCCAGGTGCTACTCCTCCTAACACCCCCATCTGGTCAGTACTATATTATCACCTCCATTTCACAGATGTTTTAGAGAGGTCACCGGCCCCAGGTCACGTAGTGTGTAGCAGTCAGGCTGTGATGCAGAGGATCTACTGCCCGTGCATGCCCCAGTCAGGTGCCATTCGGTGAAGGTGAGTGGCCCGTTGCATTCCGCCTCTGTTCTCCTTGCCCTCTCTCTGAGAAGCAGGAACACTGCCGAGGGTCACAGTAAGAACTTTCGTCAGCCACTATTGTCCCCTGGGAACCTACAGAAGTTGTGTCTTCCCCTCCCTCTGTTCTGTCCTCAACAATGCATCCCATTTAATTTCTCCTTAGACAATATTTATCTTGGGGCATAAACTTTGTCTTCTCCTTTATGGTTTTATAATCCAAGTGGAGAGAAGAGACCTAATTTGAAACAGGGAAGTAGCAAAGCAGAACTTCACCTTGTTGAAGTAGGTCTTGATCTTCTCTGAAATTCTTTCTTTAATGATTCATTGAAGGATCTGTCTTCAATGATGCATTCATCCTCTGATATACAGAGATTAGTGACTTTCCTTACACGCAGTCAGGTAGAGTAAAGGTTTTCCCAGTCCCCTTTGGCAGGTCTGATGGCACAGGCGTCTTTAGCTCAACTTGCCATGTACGGTCGTTGAACTCTCTCATGATGACTAAAGAACCAAACTTGCCTGGTTTTTCTGGGCAAGCCAACATTTTGATATTTTTTAATAGTGTGAACACCTGCCAATAGGATGTTATGAGTATCATAGGGAGATGCAGCTTCTGACCTGGTATATAATCTCACTTCTCTGGATGCTGCACTAATTACATCAGCTCTGCTGGGCATGGGTCTGAACTGGAAATGTTCTGGTGTTTGGAAAATTCCAGATTGATAGGACTTAACCCCAAGATGCTTTATGATGTATCCCTAGATACTCTAGATGACAGAATTGAAAAGGCCTGGAAATCCCTGTTTACTATGAGTCCCTCTTCTCTTAACCGGAAAGATGGGCATTGGAAGTCTTCCTACTTAGTTTTACTTGGATTAAGCACCTCTTTTGGCATCACTTATTACTAAAAATAATGGAAAAGACAGAGTAGCTATTGGGAAGCCTCTGTTCTAGTTCTGCACCTGCTATTAACCAGCCTTGGACCAATAATACCCACCTCCGCCCATGTAAGCCTGTTTCCTCACCTGTAAGGAAATACAATAAGATTTGGACCAGACTCATGGGTTTCAAATCAGAGCAGCCTGCTGTTTAAAAATCTTTTACATCTGGAGTTTTGTGTTAGGTTTTAGTTTACAGTTCACTGATAAAAACTGTCATAAAGCCCCTGCTCTAGAGGCTTGCCGAGGTCCTGTTCTTCTTCAGCATGAAAGATCTGCAATTCTATTAACACAGTTGGTGATAGCCATGCTCCTTGGGAATCACAGCTGTTTCATTTGGCTAGATTATTAATTCCATGAAGGAAAGGAGTGGAAGACAAGATTGGAAATGAATTTTAAGTCCAGATTTGGGATTGCCATGGGTGCTGGGACTGGGACATTGTTTCATTGGAATTTAAGAGCTACCAATGATTTTTGAGAGCAAAATTTTGTCATTTATGTTTTACATGCAGCTGTGAGTATAGGGACCTGAGAAACAGTGGCTGAAGTACAGATGAGTACTTTCTTATGTAAAGGACTATGGAGTCGGGCAGTTCAGAGCAAGTGTGTCAGCTCCATGCAGTCATGCAGGGATCCAGGCTTCTCCTATTTTTCTGCTTTTCTGTTCTAGTGGAACAGGCTTTCATCTTCAGTTACCTCATGGTCTGAGATGGCTGCTGGATCCTACCCACCATGCTTGCATTGCAGAACAGAAGAATGAGGAAGAGAGAATGGTAAAGGGGGCATGCATTCCAGTGGAGTCAGCCTTCCCAGTGGTTCCTCACAGCTCTTTCTAACACTTATCATTATTGTTATTATTATTATTATTATTATTATTATTATTTGAGATGGAGTCTCACTCTGTTGCCAGGCTGGAGTGCAGTGGTGCGATCGTGGCTCACTGCAATCTCTGCCTTCTGGGTTCAAGTGATTCTCCTGCCTCAACCTCCTGAGTAGCTGTGATTATAGATGTCTGGCACCACACCCAGCTAATTTTTGTATTTTTAGTAGAGACAGGGTTTCACCATGTTGGCCAGGATGGTCTCAATCTCCTGACCTCATGATCTGCCCAACTTGGCCTCCCAAAGTGTTGGCATTACAGGCATGAGCCACCACACAGCAATTGTTATTTTTACGTTTCATTGATCAGAACTTGAGTAACAATATAGAGTTTAATATGAGGAGCAGTGTGACTCAGTTGAAAGTAAGAGTTCTGTTCTGGAGTCTCCCCTACAGGTGTGAAATGATTGGAACTCTGCACTGGATTCATTTATTCAGTGGAAATAGATGGGAAACTATGCCACTAGCTGTCTAGCTGGAGGGAATGAGGGCCTGAACTGGAGTGACCATGGGAAGATGTGTAGGTGACCAAAGGGAGAGCCAATGCAGAGCAGGGCTGACAGGATTCTCCAGGTGCGATGGGATTTTGCCAGCTGGTGTGAGGGAGTGGAGGATACAAAAATCACACCTAGTTTGGGAACCATGTGAAATGGATGCTGGTGATGCCATTGACTAAGTAAGGACTTTGGAATTTTAGGAAAGAAGGTAATGAATTAGGTTTTGGACATGATGAGTTTGTCCTACAAACTGCAGTTTATTTGCACCAGGACTGGAGCTTGGGGAAGTAATATTTCCAAGTAAATATTAAGTTCACCAATTATTTTTATCTTGCTGTCTCAGGTACATTTTTGGGCTTCATAAGTTGTTACTTAGGGGACTCTGTTAATCATGGAGTACAGCAATAGGGTTACCTTTTCTGTTCTCTGCTGGACCTGAATTCCAGAGACACTCTTTCCCACCATTGGGCTTAAGGATCTTAAGAGTATGACAAAGATGATATTGCAAAAAAATGCCTTCTTCCTTCCTTCCTTCCTTCCTTCCTTCCTTCCTTCCTTCCTTCCTTCCTTCCTTCCTTCCTTCTTCCTTCCTTCCTTCCCTCCCTTCCT